GCCCACAGCCCACAGCCCACAGCCCGCGACAATCACGGCGCTCCCGCCTGCACGGCTCGGGTGCGATAAGAAACCGCAGCGCAGCCGGGCCGCCAAGGCGCCGACCAGGATGCATCCAAAGCCCACCAGCCCCCGCGACAGCCCGCCTGCACCCCACCCACGCTGTCTCTCGCGCGACGCCGCCGCCCGACCGCGACGATCACTGCTGAATCAGTTTTTGGGTCGCTCGAACCCTCACCCCACCCAAAACCCTCAGCCCACCTGCACCACGATCATGCTTTCTCTCATCGAAACGAGATCAGTCAGATCGGTCGCCCCCACACCCCTCAGCCTCACTATGTGCCTGTTGGTTGTTCATGGGGCGGGGAGGGGGTGCGGTGTTTTGGGGACGGGAGGCCAGCATCCCGCCACACAGGCGTTGGCGGGAGGCAGCGAGCGCGGGGCCGGGCCGCGCCCTGCCGTGCTCGCCGGCGGCCGCGGCGGGTGGGGCCGGAGGGGAACGGGGTGCCCGGCAGGAGCTTGTGACGCGTCGGGCCCGGGTGGGCAGCGGCCGCCGCGCAGCGCGTTCCTCCCTTGAGAGGCTGGAGGCGCGCTCGGGCACCCTCAGGAGTGACCCGCCCTGACCCAACCGATTTCCGCCTCGCACCCGAGCCGGGATCCGCTAGCATCCCTGGGCCGGCAGCTTCCGACCAGCTTCAGGCCGCTCAACCTCCACCCTCACCCCCAAACCCAAGCTCTCCGCCCCCGAAGCAGCTCCACTTGAACCCCTCCCCCCCACATAAAACAACAAGCAAGCAGCATCGGCGATTTTTCTCCCGCAACCGCTCACGGGTGCATCATCTTTCTCAGCAGGTTTGCCTCTGCCAGGAACTCCCGCAGCTCCTGGGGGCTCCTCAGCACGTCCGGCCGCAGCGTCTTAACTGCGACGGGCTCCTCAAAGCCGGGCAGGGCGGGATCTGTGAGCGTTGCGCGGTGGACCTCTGCAAAACCGCCTTGGCCGAGCAGGTCGCCTGTGATTTTTGGAGCGGTTGGGGTTTGGTTGGGTGAGCGGCGGCGCCGATCAGGGGTCCGCAGGGGCTCGTGCGCGGGAAAGGCTGGGGAGCTGCGGCCGGCCCGAGCGCGGTGGGGCCGGAGTTGCGGGCTGCGGCGCGGCACGGCGCGCACAACAGAGATGCGGAGTCGCGAGGGGGTGGGCCGCGCCCCGAGGGCGCCCGCCCGCGGGGTCGCAGGCGGTAACGGCGGCTCACCCATCGTCAGCCGTGTTGCATCTACGTACAGCGGCCCCAGCAGCTCCTGCAGCACCTCAGCGGGCGTCATCCCGAACTGGGGGGCGCCGCCGATGACGCCGGCGGCCTCCGCCTCGCCTGCCCCCGCCCCCGCAGCGGCGTCGGCCGCGGCGGCGGAGGTCGGGGTGGCGGCGCCGATGCTGCTCTCTGCGCTGTCGACTCGGCGCAGGGCGGGGGGGGCCGCGCCGCCGCCGCCGCCGACCGGTGGCTGCTGCGGCTCCTGCTGCTGCTGCTGTTTCTGCTGGTGGTGAGGTTGGGTGCCATTCACACCCTCGTGCTGCTGGTGCTCCTGCTCCTGCTGCCGCTGCTGCGCCTCCAGAGCCATCAGCGCCGTCTCGGGGAACGCCACATCGCCACTCACCACCCCGCTCACGCTGCTGGCAGCCGCACTCGCGGCAGCGTCCGGCCCGGGGCTGCGGGGCGTGGTCCCGTCCGCCGACGCCGCGGCGCCGAACGCGGCTGCGGCGGACGCCTCGCGGCGTGAGCGCCAGGCGGGGGCGCCGGGGGCGATGTCGATCGAGGCACGATGGAGTTTCTGCTGCCGCATCGAATCGTCATCCTCTTGCAGGACATCAAAGAGCAGCGCCGGGTTCGGCGCGCGCATGGGCTTTGCTGGGCTGGCCTCCGGTACCGGGGCCGGCGCGGCGCCCATCGTGCGAGCGGGGGGCGCCGCGGCGCAGACCGCGGCGGCGCGTGTGTGCGCTGGCCACGCGCTCGAGGCGCGGATGTTGGTGCCTGCTCTGCTGCTGCTGGAGGCCGTCGAGATTTTGTGGCAAGCACGCTTGACGGGGAAAGCAGGTGGTGCTCGAGCGTCCTGGTTTGCACGGACGGGAGATGGCGCTCTAGGGGACGTTGGGGTCCCGCAGAAAGGGGCACCGTGATCGACGTTGGGGCCAGTCGAGACGATGTTTGCAAAATGTATCGGGACAAACCTTTCTTGGTCGATTTCGGACTTGAACCACTCGCGCTCATTGATACCGAACGACCCTCCCGCCAAGCGGGTGCCGCAGCCGTGGTGACTGCTGAGGCTGCTGCGAGCAGCGTCCCGGCGTGCAAAGCGCGCTTGGTACCGCGTCCACCGCGCACGTGCGCGGAGACGGCACACTTATAGTTGTTCACAACACATAGACGTCGGTCCATGTGACGTGGCAGTGCCTCTGCATCTCCTGAGCAATGCCTGTCCATCCCCTGTCGCCTCCCCAGCTGTCCTCCTGCTCGCGCCTGCCCTTCATATTCCTCTCCCACATGCTGCAAATCTTGGCTTTGTATCTATATCACCGTCACGAAGCGGAGCGCTTCGAGGGGGTTTCAGCAAACACACGGTTCGCAGCCGCCAAGTGCGAGCGACGCCTGAAAAATCTGGCAGCAATATCCACACGCGACGCAGCTGGAGGCGGGTGCACCGGCAGAACGCACAGCGGGCGGCTAGCGAACCTCGACGCTGGTTTTGGCAGCATCATTGACGACAAGGCCGCCAATGATGCAGTGCGCCTAACATAAAAATTCGAAACCACAGCAGCCCAACAGCAACAAAAATCTGTCCTAAAAGCACTTTGCTACAGCTTCCTTTGCCAAGCCTGCCGCCTGGAACGGCCTGCGCAAGCTCCCGCTGCCGCAGCAACACCTGCCTGCTCCTCCCCCCCGCCCGTTGCGTCACCGGCCAAACCCGCGCTTGCCGCCCTTTCCGGCCGATTTCTTCCGCCCAGCGCCCGACGCCGGCACCGTCGCCACCGTCGTCGCCACCATCGCCGCCGCGCCGCCGGCCGACGCCGGCGCCGCCGCCGCCGCCGCTGCGAGCTTCTGCAGACCCTTGCCGCCCACTGCCGCCGCCGCCGCCGCCGCCGCCGGCTGCGCCTGGAAGCCGCGTGCGACCCACTGCTGGCACACCCATTTCTCGTCTGCAGCTGACGCTGCGGTGTGGAGCGTCCGCGCGTCGGGGCGGCCGTCGGCAAAGGCGGGGAAGAAGATGAGCGCGCGGCCGCGCTTTGGCTGGACCCGCAGCCCCAGGTGGTCGAAGCAGGTGGCGCCGCCCTGGGGAGGAGAGGGAGGGTCCAGATTGTGCGTGCGTGCGTGCGTGCGTGTGTGTGTGTGTGTGTGTGTGTGTGGGTGTCTGCGTGGATGTTTGTGGTGATATGTGTGCGTGTGTGCGTGTGTGCAATCAGATGCATGTGTGCGTGGGAGCCAGGTAGGGACTGTGTCATGCTGTTCTTGCAGGCACGCATGCACACACACCTGCATGCGCGCCGCGTGACCGGCCTGTGCCCCCACTCACCCCCGCCCCCCTGTAATCAGGCCCGACCCAACTTCCTCGCAGTCTCACACATCCACTCGCGTGCGTGGAACGGACAGGGTACTCCACGTGCAAACGTGCACTTCATTTGTCTCCATAGCAACGCTGCTCACAACCACGGCAACGCGCAATGTCACACCCACCTCTGCCACGTCATTCAGGTACATCAGCAGGGTGGCGTGGCGGTTGAAGCCGTTGGCCCGGGCAAGGGGGACTGGGAACGCGTCCTGTAGGGGCAGGCAGGCGCGTATGACGTCACGTGTGTTCGCGCGCGTGCACGAGTCCTCGGTGTGTGGATTCGGCGGGGCTCGAGTCTGCGACCCCGCGCCGCTCGCAGGCCCAGCTGCGCCAGCTGCTGTGTGCTGCGTCTGGCAAGCAACCGCGCCTGGCCGGCGCGCCGTGCTGTGTGGCGCTCCTTTCAGGCTATGCAGCAAGCGCGTGAGCCGCCGGCCGGCTGCGCCTGCCGAAACAGGGCCGGTGCGTGCGGCAGCGCGAAGCACGCCGCGCCTGAATTGGTGTATGCGCGGTGTGCGCGCATTGGCGCCCGATGGCCGCACCTCGTGCGACAGGAAGTGCTGACCGCTGGTGTACCGCGCCACCTGGGGGCTCTCGAAGCAGTACTGCCCCGGCCGCGGCATCTTGCCCGTCGCGCCCCAGGGGTGGCCGGAGCCTGCCCGATGAGAAGGGAGAGGCGAGGCTTGAGAAGGGGACTCACTGTGTCTGGTTGCGGCCCGCCACGGCCCTAACAACGGAGACGCTGTTGTGGTTGATGCCGTCAAACCATTGTCGATCCACCTTGCAACCTAATTCCCAGTGCTGCGTTCCCATCACTCTCAGGCTTGTGGCAGCCAGTTTTTGCTTCTGCCGCGGCTCCTGCCCTGCAGCCTCACGCAAGCAGTGTCGGATCGAGGCCCCCCCCCGCACCCTTGCCGCCGCCAAACAGCTCCACAGCCCGCCGCTGCACCTCGTCCACCCGCGCAGCCAGCGGCGCGTGCGCCGCCCTCACGGCCGCGTCCACCATCATGCTGCTGCTCGTGCGGCGCGCGTCGTACGCGTTGGCGCCCGCCGCGGGGCGGCCCGCGTTGCCGGCGCCGACCATCGACGCGCGGAGGCAGCCTGCGGGGACGGCGCGCGTGGGCGACGCCACATGTCAGGCCGCAATTCTTCTCATGTTCCCTCGCAACAAAGCAACCTCCGACACACTCAACCGTCCCACCCGCAGCCGCTGTCCCCCAAGCTGAACTGAACAGCCCCTCGGCCGACAAACGGCACGCGCGACGCCCGCCCGCCGCCGCCGCCGTTCGCCCTGCAAGCGTCCCGCCGGCGCCGCCCGCCCGCACCCGATTGCTGCGCGCCGTCTGTCAGCGCCTCGCACTCGTCATCTGATAGGAAGCCCTCCACTACCACCACTGGGGGCTCCCAGCTCAGCACCCGCACGCCAGGCCTGCAGAGGTCGATTGGCATGTAAGAGGCGGCCAGCCGCTCGGCGAGCGCGGCCCGTTGGGCGGCGAACTCGGGCGTGGCGACCGGCACGCCGCCGGCGGCCAGCTGCTCCGCAGAGACCGGGGAGATGGGGTTCTCAAATGCGCGCGGGGTGGGCGGCTGCTGCTGCTGCTGCTGCTGCTGCTGCTGCTGCTGCTGTGGTTGCTGCGGCCGGAGCGGCTGCGACGGCAGCGGTGGTCGTGGTGGTGGCGCCTGCTGCTGCTGCTCCTGCAGGCCCTGCGATACACCCCGTATCTGAAGCTGCTGCTCCTGCTCCTGGTACTGCTCCTGCTGCTGCCCTTGCTGCTGCTCCTGCTGCTGCTGCCGCGCCCGGCGCCGCTCCTCGCGCGCGGCAAAGAGGTCAACTTGCGAGCCCCCTGCATTTTTGAAGACGCCGTCCGGGTCCCAGCCTCTGCGCGCCTCGTCCTCCGCCTCTCCAGACCCCGTCATTACAGGGGGCACAGCCCCTGGATCCACAGGGTGCGTATTCCCGGTGTGGAACGCTGAGACAGCCAGAAGGGATATGTGTCGGGGCAGCCCCTACGTGCTTGCCCCCACCGCCTGATGCAGCGTGGCACACGAGCACAAACCCCTCCCGCAATGACCGCCGCAAATGTTTCTCACCCAAACTAGCCAGCCGGGGGCGGCGCAGCGGCGCGCGCGGCGAGGGGCGCGATGCAGCAGCCGCACGTCGCGACGAGCTGCACCCCCTGCAGTGGGAATTGATGGTCAGGCGTCTACGCATGTTGGCATGCGATGCGATGAAATAAAATAGATTTTAGACATCCTCACCATGGCTCCTGAGGCGAAGAAAATTGCTTTACAAGCTGCGTTCCGGGCATGGGCGTTGCGCCGTGCCAAGAGCTCTACATCCGCTATGATGCAAACCTTTGGCAAAACAAGCGCGTGTAGAGCCAGTTTGGTCAAGACCCTGCGCACCGACGAGGCGCTTTCGCCACCATCAGTCACTGGGGCACCCACGGCCGACCACCAGGCTTCATACGCATGTCCGCTGCAAACCTCAAGGCTCCACTGCTCGCCCTTCCCTGCTGCATCAGCATGGAGATATGCATGCATCATAATTGAATGGGTTGGATTGCTGTACATATGAGCGGCCAACCGCCGGAGCGTGTGCCTCGAGGCGCCCCCATCTAGGCAGGGCTGCCCCACTTGCGTAGCCTCAGTCACAAGGGGCTCAGCAGCTGCGGCAGCACAGCCACTGCATTGCCACCTTCAGGGCACCTGCGCATTGAGCAGCGGGACCACGAGGGACTTGGTGTGCAGCTTGCATCATATTGGGCATCTGGGGCCCCAGCAGGCAGCCCTTTATACCTAACCACCCCAAATCGACGACAGCCGCGGGTCACCCCTCTAACCGCTGCCAGCGAATGCCGGCATACTGGACTAGGTGATTACGAGAGGACTCCTGCCTGCACACTGGTGCAGGGCCAACTTAGTACTGGGCTGCATTCAATCACTGGGCTTTAGTCATAAAAGGTTGCTGTGCAACGTGACCAGTCATGCCGCAACAACAAGCCTGCATTCCATCACAGTGTTACACACGAGTGCATCACAGCTAAATGACAGGGTGATGACTCATTTGTACAGCCAAGACCCTCACAACATTAGCAGGTGATGGCAGCAAACAGCACAGGTAGAGGCATGCGTACTGTTGGGTGCACATGCACAAGTACAAAGGCACTGTACAGGCGGGGGTGCATCATGCAGCAAATGGTGGTGCGGAGCGATCAGCCCAGCAGGGGCAGGGTGCTGGCCGCACCAGTGACGGTGCCGAGGAGGCCAGTGGCAGCGCCGGTAGCGGCGCCAGCAACGCCGGAGACAGTGCCCAGGGCGCCGCTGGCGGTGCCAAGGAGGCCGTTCGCGGTGCTGAGGGTGGTGCCGACAATGGGGGAGGCGATGGGGCCAACAACGGGGAGGCTGTTCACGGTGCCGACGGCAGTGCCAAGGACGGGGGTGACCACACCGGTGGCGGTGCCGAGGAGGCCGTTGACAGTGCTGCCCACGGTGCCAACAACGGGGCTGGCAACGGGGCCAACGACGGGGACAGCGCCGACCGTGGAGCCAACAGTGCCCAGCAGGCCGCTGACAGCGCCGGTGACGGCGCCCAGCTGCTTGAGGTCGCGGGCCGCAAGGGCGGGCGCCGCCAGCAGGAACACGGCCAGAGCGGCCACGGAGATCATGCGAGCCATCGTGGACGGGTGGGGTGGTCGAGCCTGTGGGGGTGGGGGGACATGAGGGGGCATCAACAGGGGTCCGTCCGAGATGGGGTGGGTGGGTGGGGGGAGGGGAGGGGAAAGACAAGCAACCCTTTGCTTTGGCCTGGTCCTCTGCTCCGAGATGCAGCGTTTCATAATCTCAACTTGCGGATCAATCAACTCATAGGGGATGCGCATGCACACCTGGAGAGCTGGCAGGGTGCGGTTTGACGATGTGAGCGGAGAGTCGGGGTGGGCGGAATGAGGGTGGTTGCGCGAAACACGCAATATATTGATGGATAAGATGCTCGTTCAGCTTCTGTTACACCACGTTCTGACGAATCTGCGTGACATACCGACCGGTGGCACTTGCTTTGTCACGGGACCGTGTGAGTGCCCGGCCAGCACAGCCCTGTGTAGCGTTTAAAGCGCAGCTACAACTTCTATGATCTTCTGTCAGAATCAACCTGTGGCTCCAAGCAACACGTGACGGCCAAGACCTTTGCAAGTTAGGCCCTCAGTCATGGTGAATAAAGGTCCTGGGAGCGATGACCCCCAACTTTGAGCCCGTCCGCCAGAGATCCAGGCGACTGAGAGATGCAGAAGTGTGCCATACAGCTTGATAGTCCTATGATATAACAGATCCACACAAATCCAGCACGGTGAGGATCAAGCACAGCCCGCTGGAGCGAGGCCAAAAACTGCGTCGTCACACGCTTGCAGTCCATTATTATGTAAGAGCTCTGCAACCCTGGGGTCCTGTTGCTGAGGCCAGCGCAGCAACACAACACAATTAAAAGCTTTGATCAGGCAAATATTGCGGCCGTTGCTTGCGCCACACTGCTCACCTGGCCCTTTGAGATGCGCCCCATACGCGCAGTATTACCAAGCGCCCAGCCGGACAGGATCCGGACAGGCGATCAACCTTGCGTGGGCTGACCCCCAGCGCAAGCCGTCCGGCCTGGCAAACGCATGTCAACGCCGGTGCTGTGGCGTGAGCAGGCCTGCACAGGCCTGTGCTGATGATAGCAAGCAGGATGATCAGATTGGAATTGCAGCCACCACACCTACCTGGCTGCTACCTGATACTGACCTCATGCTGTCACTGGAGCCCTCCGCCGTGGTCAGCCCCAATGTGACGCTATTGCCTCTGCGCAACCTCTCACACAAGCCCATGCTTGCCACCAGCAACAGCAGCAGCAGCAGCAGCAGCAGCTGCAGCAGCAGGTGTTCTGAGTACACCACACACATCTAGGCGTGCGTGCAGGTTGAGTGACACACAGAAGCCACGTTTAGTCGAGGTTGTGCGTGGCGCTCATTCCCAAGCAACCACAGGGCCAGGGGCCACACGCGCACGCCCCATAATGAGCGAGTCCTATTTTATTCCAGAGTGGCTAATGCAAACCAGCCTCTGCAGCTGACAGTGCTCTGTTGTAGCAGAAGGATGAATGGAATGGACACTCATTGAACATATAAACATGCCAACAAACTGGAGAGCTGAGCAGACCGGGCATGATACTGTCATGCTACCAGCTATGCAGGGGGCTTGCTTGCTTGATTGCCCTGGTCCTCCTGCCTGATCAGCGTGATGACAGGTCGCAGCCTTTGGGCAAGCGGCCTTTGGTGCGGATCGCTTGCTGTTTGAGAGTGACGGAAAAAAGTTACTGCGTGGACGCCGTTGAATCCATCCACTGTCGGCGAGCGTCACAGCCTGCAGGCGTCCAGCAGTGCCCATTCATGCACACCGCGAGAACGCCAAAGCAGCCATACAAACCCGCATGCGCTGCGTGGTGCACGTGAGGGTCGGGCAGCAGCACGGGAGTGCCGCCATTCCTGCAGGCGAGTTTTAGCATAGCGTTGCAATGAGCTCAACAGCATGCAATTGACTTTTACCAATTTGGCCTAATTTGACAATTGATGCATGTTTGCAGCGCACCAGGTTGCCCCTTTGTTTCGTCTCATGATTGACACACGGGACTGGGCGCCAATGAGAGGTCTAGTGCCAGCACACTGGTACACGGCCAACTTAGTACTGGGTTGCATCCACTCGCTCACTGTGTGCTAAACACCATGTACAGTTTGGCTGTGCACCGTGACAATTTCCAAGTGGCAACAACAAGCCTGCATTTGATCACAGTGTTACACACGAGTGCATCACAGCTAAATGACAGCTGTATTAACTCATTTGTACAGCCAAGACCTGGTCTCACAGTTTGAGCAGGTAACGGCAGCAAACAGCATAGGTAGAGGCATGCATACTGATGGGTGCACATGCACAAGTACAAAGGCTCGGTACAGGCGGGGGTTGCATCAAGCAGCAAGTGGTGGTGCGGAGCGATCAGCCCAGCAGGGGCAGGGTGCTGGCCGCACCAGTGACGGTGCCGAGGAGGCCAGTGGCAGCGCCGGTAGCGGCGCCAGCAACGCCGGAAACAGTGCCCAGGGCGCCGCTAGCGGTGCCAACAAGGCCGTTCACGGTGCTGAGGGTGGTGCCGACGACGGGGGAGGCGATGGGGCCAACAACGGGGAGGCTGTTCACAGTGCCGACGGCAGTGCCAAGGACGGGGGTGACCACACCGGTGGCGGTGCCGAGGAGGCCGTTGACAGTGCTGCCCACGGTGCCAACAACGGGGCTGGCAACGGGGCCAACAACGGGGACAGCGCCGACCGTGGAGCCAACAGTGCCCAGCAGGCCGCTGACAGCGCCGGTGACGGCA